TTACTATTTGTATGGAATGATTTTAATGCTTGCTTGTTCCCCTGACAGTCTGGCAAATCGATTGACTTGTCTTCCATCTGTTTTGCAGTTCCCTTAGAATATTCTCGGTGGTCTGTAGTCCAGGGAGAAGGACTTAATTCAGAGATGGATAGAGAGCTAATCTCACTTGTGCCCATTAAAGGATTATACAGATCAGAGCGTGAAACAGACTGGCTGGGAAGTGAAAGTTGTTTACCAGCCTTGAAGCTGCAGAACTAAGGTGGCATTATAAGTGCTTGAGTTCACACCTGTAGCCCAGCAGCTGTCACTGAGTGAAATCAATGTTTGGAAGGTGCATTAACTTTTCTTCTCTCTTGTTTGTTCAGGATTGATATTGCCCAATGGAGATATCAATTGGAATTGCCCATGTCTGGGTGGAATGGCTAGTGGTCCCTGTGGGGAGCAGTTCAAGTCAGCCTTTTCTTGTTTCCACTATAGCACAGAAGAAATAAAGGGATCAGACTGTGTGGACCAGTTCCGTGCCATGCAGGAATGCATGCAAAAATACCCAGATCTTTACCCTCAAGAGGATGAAAATGATGAGAAGTCCAGCAAAGATTTGGAAGCTGCCTCTATGGAGGCCTCTGCTGCCAAAGAGGAGGAGGGATCCAGCTAATGAAGATGCAAGGAGGCTGTTGTCTCCATTCCTCATTTTCAGAGACATGGACTTCTGCAGTGTGTCTGTCTTCTGAGTAGTGAGGGAATGTTTCACCATATTCTGTGCACTGTATCATAATGAATAATTTATTCCTGAAGGAGAAATCTCAGAGCTTCAGCCTTGCAAATAAATACCGCAGAAAGAGGAGTGAGTGTGTGTAATGTACTGTGTAACCTGGTTTTGGACACAGTTAAAACTTTAACAGCTGTTCTTTACCCTCAAGTTTTCCTTGAGTTTTGACTTGAATAATGTCTTGAAGTACATAGCTTTCAACTAAAATTCCACTGGCACACCAGGTCTGTCTTCATTTCAGTATGTTCTGATCAGTAGCTGCTTTTTATTTAATGTATTCTGTTCTGTCAATAGAAATTACATTAAATGATTGTTTTTCCTTTAAGATTTTTTTTCCAAAGTGATGCAAGACATTGAAAATGGTCTAGATAGAATTTCTAAAATAATTTCAAATGGTCTTACTAGATTATGGTTGCATTTTACTGCTGGCATCAGATCAGGACTGCCAGGAAAATGATGAAATGCACATCTTCTTTGATTTCACTTACTTACTGTGATGCCTTTTGCATTTTTAAAAATGGTGTGTTGTGCAACTGATGATTAAGGTGAATGCAAAGAATGTTGGTCACTGGCTTTAGTTTTGCTCTGAAAATACTTTTGGGTCCCTTTGGTTATTACCTTCTCCTTCAGTGTATAGATGGGCACTTGTAAAATACTTTGAGATAAAATAAATTGTTACCTGGTGTAATGATCTCATGACAGATACTGTGACTTAAGTGCATATTAAAAAGCAAATACTTTTTACCCTCACTGGAAGCTGCTGTGTCTTTGTGGTGTGGTGTTTTGTTTTGTTGTTTTTTTGTTAACACTGATTGGATTTGAGAACTGTTCTGTGCTGTAAGCTGACCTCAAATGAATTTGTGGCTTGTGAAGATCAGTTGCTCCATCTTGTCAGATTTTTATTCTTGTCTTATTCTTTTCTCCGCAGCCCAGGCAGAAAGGCATAAAAAACCTAAGCTTTTTCAGTAGCTGTAGTAGACTGGATCATGAACCAGCAAATAAACATGAACAGCTATTAAAATATTTGAAAATTACATAAGAGGTACAAATAATTTAATAGTTCATTATTATTCAATATAAGCTATACTGCATTGTTTCTCTTTCTGAGCAAAAGATAGGCTGTGCGATTTCTATTTCAAAAGAGATTGTGGCTGTGGTTGTTTGGTTTTTTTCTCCTTCTGTTGGCTACCTCACCCAAAGCATAAAAAGGTTGTAGTGTCAGTAATGCAGTTCACAAAGTCCAGCAATGTTTAAACACTTGCCTTTCTCTGTGGGCAGCACTCTGGAGTGCCCAGCAGCATTAATTCTGTATTGCACTTTACAGTGTGTTTGAGGTGTTTGTATTTCAGTGCAGCTGTTGGATCCTCAGAAGAAAATTTGTAGGCAGTTAAGTGGCTGACAACAACTTTGTTCTGAGGGCAGTGATAGCAGGGACTCTAGGCATCGCTGCTTTCCAAAGAAACAAAGGGACGCACAACTTCTCAGTGTGGCTCTTTCAGGCACGAGAAGCCAAGTGCCAAGTTAACCTGAGTAAACTGGCACAAAAGCAGCAGCGATAATCTTTGGCACTGAGGCAGTTGGGCCATGCAAATGGCAATAGATGAGTACTGGGCACCAAATTAGAAAAAAATCACATGCACCCAGGCTTCTGATTGTTCAAATGGAAATCTAGTGCACTCTGTGAGGAAGCAAGAGCTGTTTGTCAAGAGGTGCCCTGTTCTAACAAGCTGCCTCTTCTTTCTTTTTTGCTGTGCTTTTCTTTCCCATATTGCCTTTGTGCTCTGTGTTTGGATCTATCCTTTATAACTATTTGTGTCATCTGTGTACAAAACATAAAATGCAAGAATCTTGGCGTACAGTGGGTAGGGATGTGCACCTAATGCTGACAGAGGGAACTTGGGGCATAATCTGATGCTTTGGAAGGTGTGTTCAGGATGGATTTGCTTCTTTCTGACTCTTGTGGCTTGGTAACCTGTTGTGCTGCATCCAGTACAAATATGAAATGTGTGTAAGGATCTTACACCAGAAACTGTGAAAAGCACTGTGTGATGTGTTTGAAGTGTTTTGAGAAAGGAAGTCGTAGCTTTAATCCTAAATAGTTCTTTGTGGAATTTTTTTTTCTATGTAAACTCATGCAGTTGTGAATACACAGATAATGTAACTCCTTGTTTCTGTTTCCTAGCACTGCTTCATTTGTCTGGTTTTCCTCATATATTTACATGCCCAAATCAGTGGTTATTTTAATATATAATAAAGATGATAAAATGATCCTTGGCAATATGTGACAAGCTTGTGAAATAAGCAGATGGTAAGTTGCATCTTTATTGTATGAATACAAAACTTAAGCTTTGCATATTTCTTGTTGTGATGTGTTTCTTATTTTATAAATAATATCTTGGTTTTCTGTCTGTCATCACTGAGCTGCTGGTTCTTGGAGAGAGAGAGTAGTAGATTCAAATGTGTTTGTGCAATTGTGTTTATAGAGTAATTTCATACTGGTTTTATGTTATCAGGTGCTTTTGTCAAGTCATAGGCACTGCTATGTCAAGTCACAAGTAGTTCTTGGGGCATAAAGAAATCTTTCATTATGAAAGAATTGCTCTTTAATTCTGTGCCCTTAGTTGATCTTTGGCCTACAAAAGCTTATGTGCTGAGTGTGATTAAATGTTTATAAAAAGTATAACTAAAGAAACTGTTAACAATACATGAAGCACTTCTGGATGTATTAGAATATCTTTCCAATCCAAGTTACTTAGCTCAAACAGTTACATATAGATAGAATTCCAATTGAATTTGCTCTTTTTAGTTTTAAGAATAAAAAGACATGGTTTTAATTGTATTCACCATTGCTCCCAAAATACTCCCTTGTACCATATTGCTGTGTAATACTTCAGCTTTTCAGTTTTAACCATTCTTCAGTTTTTGCATACCCTTGTTCTGGTGCACTGGACTGGGTGGACTGTTATCAGCTGGCTGCAGTTCCTGCATGGTGCAGGCCACAAATTCATATGTAACTTGTGGTAACTTGATTGTTAGGATGGGATTGTTCCTGCAATCCACTTAAACTTGAATCAGTGGTGCATGTATTACACACTTTGATATGGATAAAGATTGCCTCTAAAACTTTAGATGATCCATTAACGAAACATATATTCTAAAATGTAAAATATAATGAAAATAGTTAAAATTAGACAAAATTGCATTTTTAGAATTAAAAGTTACTCAGTAGTTTTTTCTGCTGTTCTCTGCAGTACAACCTGAGGATATTGCAGAGACCTGACTTCAACTTGTGTATATTAACTTTCTTAGAGGTATGGCCTTGCTTCAGGTGCAAAAATTTTTTTTTTTCTTTCTGCCTGCAAAAGGAATGATGAACAAAATGGTGGCTGGAAGGAGACGTTTATCTTGCAGGCCATTGTAGGGATCACTAGATCTGGGGATCTGGCAGGGCTGTTTTGGAAACAAGATCTATATCCTGTGCAGTTCTGACTGAGTATGCTTGTTAACCTGACAGCAGTGTCTCCTGTTTATCTGAGGCACTGATCTGATCACACCTCAATGAACCTACTTATTCCTAGGGAGGCAAAAAAAAGGAATTAGTGTGCTTCTAGACTCTTGTTTTACCTCATTAAAATTCTATCAGTGTTAGTGTGGGACAGTGTAGAGAAGCTACCAGCAGTTTGTCATTTATTCCTAGTCAGCTCTCTTCACTGGACATGATTTCATTTTGTTGAACAGGAGCCTGCCTGCAGTTGTTTTTCAAGTGCTTTTAACCCCTTTGGAGCTGATGTTGTTTTGATGATGGTGGAGCTTAGAGAAGACACACCCAACAGAGGAAGAGTAGAGGAGTGCAGCATTGATTATAGCACCAATGTTCATTTTTGAAATGGCTTATTGTAAATCAGTACTGATGATCTGTGAGCAGACAGCTCAGGAGGGCCAAAACAAGGAGCACAGGATGATTTGTGGTGACTCCACAGTGCAGATTAACCCAGATGACACAGCAACGATGTGAAGGGTAGGTGAACATAGGATGTGTTGTACCCTGAGTGACAGGTCCAGTTATTTGTTCTGAATGTTCCAAGTTCCTTCAGCTCCTAGAAAGTTAAACCATCCCCTCACAGTGCACTCATTCCCTTCATAGGATGCTGTATGGAAAATGGGTGTTTGATTTCTAAATCTGTGGTTCCAAGCTGTATTTCTACTAGCAGTAGCTATTAATGCTAGTAAATGAAGGTGTCAAAAAATAACTTTTATTCACAGAAGAGGCCTATGCAGATGTTCACCCTCCCCACAAAACCACCAGTCTGGCACAAAAAGTGGAACAGAGGTGTTTGCTTTAATATGGTGCTGACTATAAACCAACATGGAATATCCTCATTGTCATTAAATAAGATCCCCTACAGGTAAAATGGCCTCTGTTGAAAAGCACATTCCTTAGTTTAACTCTAAACCTACACTTGAATTTCATTTCTTGTGAGAGGCCCTCTGAGATTAGACTGTAAATTCATGTACAGGTCTTTATTGATATTTGAAAGAGAACTAGTTAATCTTTTTGTTGTGAGACAATTTCTGGAGACAGTAAAGAAAGCAGTTGCTGGGCTCCTAATTTCATAAGGCTGACATTTCAAATTCTGCCAAATGCCTTGGTTAAAAAGTGTTTTATTGCATTAATTAAATAGCTTGTTGGAGATGCCACATTGTTGGATACCAGTTTAGGTAACAACAAATAAATTATGAAATTAAATGGGGGAAAGCAGTGGAGGAAGGGAAATTTCCTGAAAAGGAGAGAGGAAGAAACACTAGAAACACTGTTTATGTCCTGTTAGGAAACAAATTGGAGCTTTTTTCCCCCTAAAGATCTGCCTGTCATCCATTTCCAAATGAGCTGAGGATATTTCTGCTTTTCAGTCAATGTGAAAGTCAAAGTAAAATAGCAGTAAATAGAATGGAAGAGGCTGAATTTTTACATTCTCATTGGTAAAGAGAACAAAATTATGGCCTAAGTTGTAGGCTGGACTTGCATTGTTCTGCATTAGTATTAGGGTTTCTGAGTGTCCCACTTACCAGTCAGACAGTGCTAAATGAAAACATCTCTTCTTCCCTAGGCGCATTAAAAATTAGACATGGAATTGAAACATGCAAAAGTAGCATGTGTGCTTCTCTTTCTCTGTAACTCCCTGAAAGAATATAGATTGATTAATTGTAGTTTTTTCTTAGTTGAAGAGAGAGTGCTCCAACCAACTTCATTTGGTTGTGAGTCCTTAAACAGGGGACACACATCTCAAACTTCAATTTCCTCAAAATTCTGTGTTAGGGAAGAATTTAAGTAGCTACCTCTTGATTGCTGTAGGGTAAAATTGATTTAGAAATAACGCTTTTGCAGAGCAGAACTAATTTTACCTGGAGTGCAGATGTTACCACTCCTGTACTTTTGCAGAGGGAGAAATAATCCTCAGGCACTACGGGAAGGAAGCAGAGCTTCAGCATCTTACCCTGAAGTGTGACCAGGAGAAATAAAGCACAATGAAAGCACTAAGTGCAATTGAGGGCCAGTGGTCTTGAGCACAGTTGGAACAGCCAGGTTGCTCTCCCAGAACTACAGCTTACCTCATTTGATACATGCTCCAGCCAATCCATTTACCTCCTGTTTCTGCTTTGTGGCTTTTGTAGTGTCACCATTTCAAATTAGAGCAGCTGCTAGTTCCTCACACTTTGGCTTTTTCCTATAATTAAGGCTTATTTGTAGTTATTGCTGTGAAACCTTTGTGGTGTTGCAGACTAAGTACTACAGCACAGAGCTGGATTTGGAATGGAGTTTGAGCCAAGGTGGTTTCTGCAGCAGAGCTCAGCACTAAGCATTGATGATAGCAGTGCACATCTCTAAAGGACAGTGTCCCAAGATAAGCCACATGTTTGTTTCTGGTAGGCAGCGGGATAATATTGTCTTCTAGAAAGCAGCCTATTATATTGGCATAATTACAGGCTGATGGTAAATCAGTTTGAGCTCTCTTGTATGCTTATTTAGTATTATGCCACTTGTAAAGCTGAAAGAAATTGCTGCCTTTTAGTGGTCACTTATTAAGAAAATTACAGTCCAGTAGTGAATGTATTATGAAAGCAGTTTATGCATATTAATATCAGACTCTGACCTGAAGTATGGAAACACTAGTCCGTATCTTTAGTTTTGCCTTGTAAAATGATTCTGGCTAGAATCAGGCTCAAGTGAAGAACTGACTTGTGATCTATATATGATGCACTAGGTAATTTTGTATGATACGGCTGTGCATTTTTTTTAAAAAAAGTAGTCATGTCCCGAGTTTCCTGTCTAAGCACATGAAAGGAGGGATGGCAAGTCTGCTTTCCTCGTTTCAGCTAGGAGCATGTTGAATGGGAATGTTTGAACTAACTACACCTTTCACTGCAGTGTTACTAAAAGGCAAAGTCCAGCACTGTAATTTCTGAAGCAGAAATTATTTGCATCCAGTTCGAAGAATATCTGATACTTGTTTTCCCAAATATGCCTTCCAGGGTTTCACCAGGCTGTTCATGTTCACGAGGAGTTTGCCAGTCCTAGAGTCCTCCTGGCCTGCTATGAGATAGTCAGTACCTAGTTGAAAAAAAAAAAAAAAAGAAAAAGGGAAAACCCTTAGTTAGCAAATAGAATAAGAAAGAACCAAACCAGAATTTCTTTATTTCATACGGATCTGGCATACAGCACCTTTGCCAATTTCATCCAGTTTATGCATGTGCCATCTTATGTGTATAAAATCTCTGTGCATACTGTCACTGCTGGCTCCTGGGCACACAGATTCACTGGTGTCAGGGATGTGCTCAGGGGTTACAGCTACAAATTGATTGATGAAATTTATTTAATTCCACTGAGGTTCAGCACACAGATCTGCTGGGATGTGGCAGCTGCTGCTCATGCCTTTGCCCCCCTCCTGGCCTTTACCACCCTCCTTGAGCACTGTGAGCTGGAAAGCAAACATGCTTTAGTGGGGATGAATCAAAGGATGCTGCCCCAGAAAGGCTGATCACAGCTGATATTCCCAAGCACTGTTAAAAGGGGAAGCAAAACCCCCAGTGAGTATTTTGTCCTTACCAGGATTGAGAATGGGACATGTACAGCCTCTGTTGGTCCAGGATTCTGGGTAAATGCTTCTGTTGCTCCGAGCAATTTTCACTTTGCCTGATTTCAGGACCTTCTTTACTTTCACAACAACTTCTGCATGGGTCCCTTTGTCATGAGCAGACAGGATTCTTGCTTTTATTACTGCCAGAAAACATGTCCGAATATAGACCAACAATTAATTTCTAAATGAATTTTGGTTAATGTTGCCAAAAGGTAGAATTTTAACAGCTTGAAAGAAGACATGAAAAATCCCCCAAAGTGCAATTGTACAGAAAGTACAGTGCTTGTCCACTTCACTGATGGATCTTTAAAATAAAACCTGCAAATTTTCTTTTTAAGTAGAATAAAAACTGGGTTTTTCTTTTTAGTAGTTACCTAATCCTTTTGCCATGTTATTTAGCAACTAGTTTTTAATGGGCTGATGTCAAACACTTGGAAATTCTAGGAAAGCACTTGTATGTCTATCAAAGGAAGGGTGTAAAACCCCAACCTGCAGCTACCAGCCTGATTTCAAGCACTGATTTTACACTTTATATTTCCAGTTAGAAAACGTTATTGCTTTGCTTTAACACTTGTCTCTTGAAAATTCTGTCCTGGGAAAAGGGACTGTCTACTGGAAGGAAGTAAAGAAGTTTCCTATTAGGCATGTCACATGACTAAAACTCCATGATTGCACAACAAACCAGAACTATTTTTGGTTTTGTGGTCCAACACCTGGTTGCCATGATTAATTTCTGTTCCTTTTAATTTAGTAGGATCCCATAACTTTTTAGCATGACAGGCTCATGTAGATCAGCCCCTCAAGCAGGCTTTGTTGTCTCCTGCCACAAGCACATCAAACCTCTGAATCCCAGAGCTTGCCTTTCTTGGTTCATGTGATGGCATGAAGCAGGTGTTCATAAACAACAGTTTTAAATACAGTCTAGGTAAATGAGCTATTGGGACCTTCATAATGACTGCAAAAGCAAGGGCATTTCAGATGTGAGGTTTTTTATAATTTTTTCTTGATGTAGAGGCCAATCATTCCACTGAGTATTATTCTAGCAACCATCGTGCTGTAAAGAGGGAAATGAACTGGGTGGAAAGGAGACACTACAGAGCTTTGCATGAAAAACACTTTTAAGTTCTGATCAGAAGTTGGACATGTCACTAGACAAAAAAGGCAAAAGAAATCCTACCTCTCAGGACTTTACCAATCCTGTCATTTTTCATAGCTATCAGCTAACAATATGCATACAGGAACATTGTGAAATGATCATAGCTTGGGGGCATGTTTCCCACTTACCATAGGCATATTTCATTTGGCAGAAGTCACTGACACTTCCGAGCACCTTCTCCTTGCACACACACTTTTCTAGCAGGGAAACCCCAGAACACAAAAGGTTGGAGAAGAGCCAGGGCATGAGAGAAAAAAGAGCAAGCGATCATCAATTATGAAGTTAAATATCTGTATATAAGAACCTTGTGAATAAGTTGGAGAGTGAGCTCAGTTATTTGCAAATGTGTTTCTTGTTATATGATAAAATAATTACTCTGAAATCTTATCAGCACTGTCAAGTAAAATGCAGCCCACATGAGGTCTATTGTACAGTTAATAAACTGGTCCTAATGAAGAGATTTGGAAGAATCAGATCCAGCTGTAAATCATGTAAGTAATGAGACCTTTGTTTGATCCCATAACCTAAAAAATGCTGATCCTTCCTGGTGTTAATGCAATATCCACCTCAGAAAACTCAAGTTGTGCAGTAAGTGGCACTGTTAACTCTGCCAAGCCACCGGTGATGGCAAGTGCTGATCTTTACAGGGCCGGCAAAACTCAGAACTATTTAAATACTACAGACAACCTGGAGATAAGTGGAGCAGATCCAGACAGGGTGGAGGGTTGAAAGAGCTGGCAACTGAATGTTCCCAACCTCTGGGCTGTACCTGGGTGCCTCAGTGCAGAAAATCCCTGCTCATGGTCATTCCATTTCCACTCCTCTTCGCTCTCGTTGCTTGGCACTTGGACGAGGTCAGGGATTCGTCCCCCGATGGGGACATTAAAGAAGGGCTCACTGTCATAGCTGGGGGACACACAAACCACAGCATTGTGTTAGGGCACCACAGGAGAGGGAAACAAACAAACAAACAGCTGCCTTTGGCTGTGCCCAGACTGATGAGCTTGCTTTCTTCAGGCTGGGAGTGCAGATATGAGCGAGACTTCATGCCACATAGAGAGATCACAAGGTCTAGGCTTTTATTTAGGCCTCCCACTGCTGACTTAGCATTTTTTAACGCACCTATAAATTGGGCCTTTTTTGCTTACGTTTGTTTGTTTTTAGGGAATTATGTAACTTAGTGACCACTTGTTGATGTTGCTGGGACCTGTAGAACTGCAATTGCTCCGCAAATCATTTTTCCCTCGAGGCAGACTCTTCTGACTCTTCCATCTATTTCCAAAGCAAAGACTTGTTTAAAGACCCTGACATATTTCCATGGGGTTGTGGAAATGACTTATTACTGCAAAGATTAACCTGTGCAAGACTGCCTTGAATAATGCAGTGGACTTAAAGGTGTAAATATAACCTACAGAACCTTTTATGATTTACAGCCACCTTTTCAAATGATTGTGCACCCTCGAATTTTTCTTATTGCTCCAGAATTTGTTTCATTTCAGAGTCCCATCTCAGAGTGCACCCAGAGCAGAGCTTCCTTACCCATTGAAACACGTCCCAGTGCGCTGGTCACAGTCTCCGGCGCAGTCACAGGGGCGACAGCCGCTTTCTCCAAAGCCCCAGTAGCCCACGAGGCACCTGTCACAGCTGGGACCTGCCACCCCTGGCTTGCAGTAGCAGAATCCTGTCCGGGGGTGGCATCTCCAGCTGCTGCTGAACGTGGTGTTGGCTGAACCCATGGGCTGGCAGGCACAGGCTGTGGACACACAGCAAGAGACAATTCAAATGATGTGCCATGGGGTCAGCTGCTTAAGTGACATTTTTGCAAGGCTGATGTACTTCATGCCCCGTAGTTTTAAGTCAGAACTAGTAAACATTGCATTTCAGCCTACATTCACTTTTTTTTTTCTTTTTAGTTCATTAGACAAAGCAAAACAAGTACAACTATGAGCATTTGTGTATAAAAGTCAGCCCTTTTCTACTACACAAATTGTGACCACACAGGGTTTTCAAGTGATACCAGAAAGCCTCCTCTGTGTGTTCATTTTTAAAGGGGCTTGAAGGTGCCCCGTTAAAAGTGTTTTGCAGAAACATTCACTAGCAAGGGCAAGGGAAATATTTACAGCTATTGCCTACATTGCCTTTCCTCTAAACACAGAGATCACAAAACTGCTGTTTTCTCTGGGGTAGATGCAGATTATATAGGTGGTTCAGATGACCTGAAGCATTTTCAATTTTTGCCTCCAAAGAGCGCACAAATTTCCTTAAATTCCTTTCTAAAGTGCTAAACATTACACCATGCAGTACTGTATGTGCTTAAAGAAACTGATAATTTATTTTTTTTACAAATGCATGAGCAGATTTTTTCAAGGAAGGCTAGCAGAATGAGAGAAGACCTCTAAACTTACTAGATGTATTTTACATGTAGCTGAAAATGAGCAAATAGGAGGAAAAATCTCAAAATCTTTCAAATACTGTTGCCAGTTTCACACCAGCCTAGCAAGTCAAGGCAATTTGGCAGGAAAACAGATAGTTACAGCTCCTTTGGGCATCTCTTCCTGCACAGACAATAAATTGCCATAATCCCACAGCACTGGTACATTCCTGATGTGACAGCATCAGGGAGGGATGTACAGAGAGGTGCAAGCCAGCACAGTTGACTCCTCTCCATCAGGGCAGAGCCTGGCTGGGATGCCAGCAGCTCTGCAGAAGTAAAATACAAGCAGTAAACAAACCCACTCATCTCTGATGTTCAGACAAGTTTGATCAAAATGAGAACTGAACTCCAGGCCTTAGTATTTCAGCTCTCTTTTCTATTAAGAATGCAGTATGCCCTGACTTTCACTCATAGTGCACTGAAAAGATAATGCCTCACTACTTCATCCATCTGGAAGAGGAAAGAAATAAAAACTGTGTGGGTAAGGCCTGCTTTTACAGAGATTTTCAGTTAAATGTTGGACACCCAAGGTGTTTAGATAGCTTGGATCAGAGGCCAGCCTTTTTGGATGATTATTTGAACCAAACATGATCTCCAAAGCTTTTGAAGTTTGCCCATCATTGTTTCTGATCAAACTACTTTTCTTCATGAGCTCCCAGATAAGAGACTAAATGAACACTCTGATCCCACACATCACTTTTGAAGAGGAAAGGGGCAAATATATGACTAAATAAAATTTTAAGTATAGCAGGGACAGATTCACTTTCATCTGCAACCTCATATTTGAAACTCAGGAAAAGAAAATACCTTTTGAAAATAGTACAAGAAGAAGGGCAAGCAATTTTCTTTAAAGGGCATTTCTCTTATGATCTGTTTGCCATATAGTTATTTTTTCCCCCCAGTGCCCTGTGTTCTTTTTGCCAATAATTTCAATAATATTATTATACTGCTGTGGATGGATCTGGGCCTGTTGTGCTCAGGGGACTCTAGCACAACAGCCTAGGGACAGAAAAGCCACGTGCTGCCATGGGCAATGTGCTGGGCACAATGGGCAGGCTGGTGCAGGGCAGCAGCCTCCCTGCTTGCCACAGGGCAGCCTCGACTTTGGGAGCAGACCCAGGGCTTGTGCTGTCAGTTCTGGAGAGCAGGTGGAACACTGAAGTGCTCATTAGCCCTGACAGGTTCAAAGGAAGGTCTGGTTTTTTGCTGCTAAACTTGATTTCACCCCCACCCCATTTTTGCAGGGCTGACTACATCACCCTAAAAAAAGAGACTCTTTGTCAGTCACTGAAAACAATGGATGTCATAGGTATGGAGATAAGGACGGGAAACACCCTTCCTTCACTGCAGACAGGTTTGAGACACAAGGAGTAAGACTTTGCCAACATCACGGTTACTTGGATCCAGGATGGTTTTCACTGTAATATTGTAATATATAGGATCTGCCTGTGGAGTTTTCACTTAAAATGCCTTAGATTTCTGCAACCTCTGGATCTGTCTTTATCCCTCTTATTTCTAGTTTTTGGGTTTCATCAGTGAGAGTCACTTAACAGATGGGCAGCTCACATTATTAGCCTATCCTATCCCCAGCTGGGACTGGAACCTGATTCAGGAAGATGAAACTTCTCCTACCCTATTCCAAAGGGAAAACGTTACAGCACAGCGACTGAAAGCACTGGTGAAAGCTGATGAGGAAGCAGAAAACAAAAGTGCCTTTTCCTTTTAATTTTGAGGCTACAGTTCAATAAAAATAGTGTTCCCAGATGAACTGTGGGACATATTCTCAAGTTCGAAACTGGAACAGCTTCTGGTGCATCAGAAAGCAAGCTGAATCAATACATGTACAACACTTTCAGATGAGTTATACAAGTGGCTTACAAACTCTTTACTCAGTCTGTGTTTATTTAGCATTTCAGCTTGGGTGGGTGCATTGTCTGGCTTCCAGAGTATTACAGCCAAAATCCCAGTTGTGCATCTAAGGTAACTCCTAAAATAAGAGCCCACATGTCACATGCTGAAGGGGCAGCTGTGGCTGACTGGGTTTTTATCTGTTTAACACTACCATGGATTTGCAAATAAACCTCACTATGAAAGAAACATAAAAGCAAGTTTCCAAAACCGTACCCTTTAACATTTTCCAATATTTGACAACCTTTTCCCCGCTGGTTTTTGCTTCTTTTCTCTTGGCAAACCCTCATTTTCTCTCCATCCACCTCCCTGTCTAACAAAACAGCAGCCAGTGTGACAATGGCCTTGTTTGTCAAAGGCATCATCAATTATGTTAGGGACGGTGTGCAGACAATCCTGGCTCAGAGCTGGGCAGTTTATTTTGGTTCTCCCCTTGACAGTAGCATAGTGAAAAACAATTTTACTTTAGAGTTGCCTATTGGTCACAGAGTGTCACAAAGCATCCTCTTACCTTTTAGTCTCACTCCCATACTAAGTTTTTGTCAGACACTACTGTAAAAGGGAGGAGACAAGAAATAATGAAAAATGAATAATTCATACTGCAATCCCCACTCAAGTCCCTAATAAATCTGTCTGCCCTCAGCACAGCTGTTTTCCCATGTAATTAGACACAGATGTAAAATATAATATTGGTTGTAACAATATGGTCCCAGCTTACAGGAAAATACCAGGTGCTCCAAGTAAGTCAGTGGCCTATGAGGTATCTTAAACTTTTGTCTAATAATGCTGCATAAGATATAGCTGTGAGCAGACTTGCTATTTGATTTTTAAAAAAACTGGCAAAATAAAAAAATCAAACAGTCTTTTGAGTCTGAAATATATACATGTGCATCTTGGGAGTATATGATCAAACCAGTGTGATTTTTAAAGCATGTCAGGTGTGGGAATGGACTCTGCCAATGATGTTTCTTAAATGAAGGAAATAAGATAGCTCTGTGTGTGGTCAGGGCTGATTAAGACAGACTTTGAACCAAGATGTGATGGGGCCTTTGTGATATTAGAATTAAAAGTTCACTCCCTCTGCTCAGAAGTAAAAGGATGAGAAGCAGAGCCTTTCATACCATGTGTGTGTGCATGTGCATCTAGGCACATTTTAATTTTCTAGCCTTGTTCATTTGAGTAAAAAAGCTTGTTTTCCTGGAGACCCTTTTTAATGGGTCTACATGCCTGCATTACTTTTAAGCTAAGCAAAGGGTGAGTACAAAAGATGGTGCCATTTCAGAAGGATCCCTTAAGCCTTGGAATAAGCCACAGGAAAGAGCCAAGGATACAGCAGCTTTTCTAACCATTGGTTAGGAAACAATTAGGCTTTTGAGTCAAAGCTCCCATACAAACTACTTAATCCTGTGTTGTCACCCCCAATAACAGGCAGGTGTGTGCCTTGCTCAGGGACTCTTTTCAGCCTTTTTTTCTTTTTAATATAGATCTAAGCAGTGTCCAAACAAGGCTCTGCCCATGACCCTGCTCTCTCATTCATCCCAGCTGGTAGGAACAGGAGAAGCAAAGGGATCAGAGGCAGGCTACCTCTGCAGACAAAAAGGAATAGCAGATTCACACTTCCATATCAAATTTCAGCAGATTTTTTTTCTTCTGAGAGAATGTCTTTGCAGTCTCATACTGGAGGGTCAGCTAAGGGTGGTTTAGATAGTGCCAGGAGATCCAATTGTTATACAACTTTTTTTTTTTTTTTTTTCAGAGCAGATGAAGAGAGAATGCTATTCATTATTATGACTAATGCTTAAAGACTGTTTCTGGGCCTGGGCAGTGTCCTGTTAACTTTCTGGGAGCCTGAGGGGGATGTCACAGCTGAACCTAGACTTTGCTCTGGATGGCAGAGCACTCTTCAAGCGTGCTTTCTCAAAGGATTAGCACAGCATTTCATTCAGCTTTTTCATCAGACTTCCTTTCCCAGCTCAGTATCTACTGTACACAAGGGTCAAGTTTTTTTTCCTCTGAGCTCAAAATGGGAAGATGGGCACTAGGTTGCACTCACCAAAACCACTCATTCAGTCTGCTGTTTGCAGTTTATTGCTGCTTTTCAACACTTGCTTATTCCGTGGGTTTTTAATTTAGTGTTGTTAGTCTGACACTCTTTGCATGAATTTCTCAAAGTGAGACGATGCCTTGGAATTGGTACACTTAAATCCTAAAAAACATGTTAATCCAGAAGTGGCAGCTCTTCAATTTATAATCAGCAGGCTGAGGTATGACAAAAATCTATCTGGTGTTCTCATATATTGTCTAATATATTAGCAGTGCTCAAAATAGAAACTCTTTCTACTGAGAAACCAGAGTTTGTTTTAGAGTCACACAACCTGAACAACCTGGACCACCCCCAGTGAGGTTTACTGGCAATGCAAGTTTTCAACCGAAAGTATAGAGAAGAGGGCCTCTATCCTGCACATTCTGCAGGAGGCTTTGCAGTTCAATGTTAGCTGATGATGGTCCTGGAAGAAAAACCTTCCCTCTACCAAACTGTCTGTTCTAACCAAAGCCTGTCTCCACTGGTGTTTCTGGTTTTGCTGTCTCTGATATTAACCAAAGTAGTGAAGAGTTCCCTGAAAACCTCTGCGGAGGTGCACTGTTACACAAAGTGCACACTTGCACGCTGCCTGCAATCCTCATGGGGAAGTGTTTGGGGATCAGGCCTTCCATCATACAAAGTGCTATCTATCATGGGAATTTGTCAAATCTTATTGTGGGAATTCTTATTTGCCTTAAATAAAAGGGAAAAGGCACAGATTAACCACCTCATTCCCAGTTTTCTCTGAAGTCTGTAGTTATATCCAGAGTTCCTCCTATTCCAACAGAGGTACAAGCATTGTGTACACAGGTGCTGCAAAAGCCAAGTGAGCTGCAATGCCTTTTCCTTATATCTTGATATGGCAAGCATTCATGAATGCCTTTAAACCCCTGGGAAAGGTCCCCTTGACTTGAATCATTCACAGATAGGGTCCTGCTTACTTTGCTGCTGAATCAAACCCATTAAATTCATCTCAGCTAAGAGAAACTCTAGTGCAGGCTAGTGATCCAGAGTACCTCTTAAGGAAATAGATATGCTTTAGAGGGTAATTCAGTCCATCTCTTTCAGGCATCTACCTTAGGCTGCAATAAATAATTCCCCAGAGGTCCCTCTGTTTCTCCACTGATAGAACAAGGAGCCTAGAAAAGACATATAACTTTCAGTGACTAAAGCAGGATGGCAGCTCTCTAGGCCTGAGCATGCAACTCACAGTGGAGACAATTGCATTTGGGGGCCTTCTGCTGGCAGCAGCACCTTCCCCGGTGAAAAGAACATTGTTGTGCTTCACTGGCACAGCAGGAATAAAGCTCTTTCAACAAGGTAAATTTCTGAACAGTTTTTCTCTTGCTATGCAGAGTATTGGCAGGGGTTACTGAGAGACCTGTAAGCAGACCAGACAAGAGAGGCAGACGTAGAGTCAAGGTCTGATTTCATCTAGGCAAAGAGTTCTAGGGTTTCCAGACAGATAGGCTGTATTTTCAAACAATGTTTTTTCCTCTTTGCTGCTCTCCAGTGCTCCTTGACTTTAGCAGTTATCTAGCATTACACATGATGCTGGTTACTGCACCATCTCCCTGCTGCTCAGTACAAGAGTTCATACACAGATTCTTCCAGGTGCTATGAGATTGAAAGCTAATCTTCTGGCAAAACAATTTGTTCTCATTACAATATTCTCCTGTAGCAAATCTGCTCGGAGTAGAAACAGAACTAGAAAGGGGCCACTATTGAACACTACAGGATACAGGGTGAGCCAGATAAGCTCACCCTCTGCCCTGTCTGCTGATCCATGTTCTGTGATGAACATTGTGAAAATCAGAAGAAAAAGTTGTGTGGAAGCAGTCTGCTGTCACCAAGTTCCAGTGGGAAGAAGGCAAAAGAGCAGAAACACTGGATATGTTGGGCACAGAAAGGACTCACAGGATATATCACAGAATATCACAGGACTCACAATCCTAAGGAGAGGAGTAACCTAAATGTTTAAGAGGAATCATGTTGAAGAACATGAAAAGGGTCAGAAAAGCTTCAAAAGCTCATTATGTCAGTGGGCAAGAAGTCAGACAGAGAATGAAGTTCTCTATGCAGGCAACTGATGTCTGAGCTATGGGGAAGGAAAATTATCCAAAGGGAAAAAAAAATTAAGTATATTGCTGGAAATAGCAACCTCTCAAACAGATGTGAGATAGAATCAGACATGTGAAGCCTGGCAGGATACTCAGGAAATGTTTGCTCTAAATGAGGGAGATTTGGGCTCTTTGCCAGACTGGCTGGGTGCAAACTGTCTTGATCCAGAGGTTGTACATTCTCTGTGTGCAGCCATTAGTGCCTCTGTGCCCAAGACACACCCTAACACATTCAGCTGAAGTGTTAATGATGCAATTAATTTGGGCAGAGCACCCTATAACAGCTGTAGAGTCTGGAAATAAGTCTGAGTTCTGATGTATTTGTTTCCAAGTGAATATGCAGAGTTCCAGGCTTCCTGGATCTTCTGCATCCATTCTATGTATTTATGTGCACAGATATTGCACAATCAAATGGAATTTAACAATATCTTGCACATAGGCTCACAGAGTCTTGACATGTACAGAAAAAAACCCCAGGTAAATAAAATGTGCCTCAAGAGAAAAGGAACGATATTAATTTAAAATCAAACACAAGAAGAATGTACCTTTCCCCAGGAGGTAATGCATTTGGGGAATTGAATCAATTATCACAAAAAAACATGTCATAACGTGGGGACAAATAGACACAAAAATTCAGGATGATCACCTTTGATCAAAACCCCCTGTAGTTTAGGAAAAGAATACAAAGAAAAGATAATGATGCTCATGAATTACCTCTATAGGAATTACTGATTCTATGGAAATTATTTTGTTCTTGTAATGATTCTTTCACCATTCATTTTTTACCTCGTGTAGGATGGTCACTTACGTTTGCAGACCTCTGGAGAAGACATGGGCTTCCCTCTGTCCCTGTAAAAGCCAGGCTTGCACCTCTGGCAGCGATGTCCCTCCGTGTTGTGCTTGCAGTTGTCACAGACTCCCCCAGTGCGCTTCCCTGAGGCCAGCCACACGCTCAGGTCGAAGTGGCAGCTCTCGGCGTGGCTGTGGCAGCGACACTCTGGTGACAACAGGGGAAAGAGCTTCAGGCTTTTGTAACTGACACACTAATCATGGTAGCATTTTCCAAACCAGTCTGGCAGTATTTTAAACCCTTCCAGAACCTGGTATGTGGGGGGTGTAGCTACCTGAAAACCAGATTTCTGGCTTGTAAATTCCACTCCCCAGTTGCCCCAGTGCAGAAAAACACCTGCACACTGAAGTTCTCCATCAATGACCAGCAATTTACCCCCGGTTTCTGTAATGGCACCGTTACTGTAAATCACAGAAGTCTTTGTGGGGCAGCTTTGCCTGTTGTTATGGTGAGTGCTCACCCCGAGAGCCTGGGTCAGTAAACTCCTTTCCACTTACTTCTGCATTCATTGGGTGCCCCCGTTTTCCCATCTCCTGGCTTCCAAGGCTGGTCGTTGTAGAGCGGAGCACATTTCTCACAGTGGTCCCCTGCCGTGTTGTGTCTGCACACACACTTCCCATGGACCTGCCAGGGAAAAGAGAGCAGTCAGATGGCTGCAGGAACAGGTGGAGACCCCAGCAGCCTCATGAGAAGCTTCTGCACAATTCCCACACAGCTGCATGGCTCTCCTACGAAACCCACAGAGCCTGGAGCTAAAACATGTAGCTCTCTCTTTTCACAGTTATTAGTGATGTAGAATTTTTCCTACCTTACAAAATGGAGAAACAATTTAACTCTCAGTTGGCTATTTAACTACTGCATTGATGAACAATCTGTAGACTCTAAATTTGGTGAGCTAACAGGTGTTATTTTGATTTACAAGTTCAGGGCAAGAGCATGCAAAGAGTATCAAATACACTCTGGGCTAGCAGAGCCAAGTGACAGGAGAGCACAGGCTAACAGAGGATGCTGGGCTCTGTCTTATTTGACATTAACACTGATCTGGAAATTATAGTATGGAGTCTAAACATAGGGAAGTGAAATCACAATGAATTATGAAATTTGAAATTGTTAGATGAATGAGGAAATAGTCATGGACATCCTAGCACAGTTAAAAATGTAGCAAAAAATATTAAAAATGGAAAAACACAAACCAGTACTCCCACAGAAAAGTGGGAGAGCTTTAAGCCATTCTGTGAGAAAGGCACTGATATTTTAACTTAGGTACAATAGGCACCATCCTACCAACTTACATATGACTATATATAATTAGATTAGTAGAAAAGACCCAGTAAAATTTTGGGCTATGGAACTAAGAGCACTATAACTCCAAGAGGACAAAAAATTGTACCTGCAATGCTGTGCTCAGTCTTGAACATCTTATTACCAGATAAATTAGGAATTAGAAGATGTTCAACAAAAATGAGCAAAAGCGGCCTGAAGAATGGGGTTGAAGTACATAAACCCATCTAAGCTAGAAAACAATACATAGTATTTGATGGGCAAATAAAGTGCAAAATGTCTTGACTAAGACTGGCTGAATAGTTCTCTCCGTGACTATTTGCTTGAAAAGTTACTTGAAGAAGGAACTTGCTTCCTTTGTACTTACTTACCTTCATTGGAACACAGTGATTTTTAGTCATGGAAATATTCAAATTCATATCAGATTTGGAAGCAGGTATTCACACCAGAAACCAGATCTTGCAAACTGAGCTAGTCCAGCCTTCAAAGTTACCATTGAAACTACTTCTGCTCTCAAGTAATTTTTCACACCAGCAATAAAGCAGCCACTTCCACAATAAACTGTGATTTGGTGCATAAGATTCTGTAATATTAACCATATCTAAGAACAGCCTTACAGAAGGGCTTTTATGTTGTTGCTAGGGTTTTTTGTTTTTTTTTTTTGTTTTATAAATAAGTAAATATTAGTCCAATATTTGTTTGCAATGCCTCAGGGAAAGGACTTCACAGATAAAATTTTTGGAGGAAATACCAAGCACAGGGTGTGAGAGAAAGGGAAGGGTGGTACCATAAGTCATGTTCTACATTTATCACACGAGCAGCTTCTGTAATGCCAGGAGACACAGGTACTAGAGCAGAGATGCCCAGGGGTTAGACCCCTGTCCCTCCGCGGGCTGGTGAGGATCCTGAGCTCAGCACAGCTCTGCTGCACATCAAAAAGCCAGGCTGAAACAGCATTTTGACTGGGGTGCGAATTGACTTTAACCCTTTCACCTCACCATTAACAGGAGTCCCGTTTCTCCTCCGAAAGCCAGGCTCTCCCCGCAGCCCCGCTCCCCATCTGGCAGCGCAGGCAGCCCGGGATCAGCAGAGCCGCCTCTCCCAAGAGCGGCGGCTGGATGCGCTCCCCTGCCCCCAAACTCATGTTCCCGCAGCAATTTGCTCTCCGCTGCCCTGGTTTCTAATCCTCCCCCAGCAGAAGTGATGCAGGGAGCAGAGGGATCGGCCGCAGCTGATGCCGTGGCCGCTCCACGGGCGGCTGGCACGGCCGCCGCCTCCTCCCGGCTCCGTCCGACCTCCTCCCACCCTCGCACGGGAAACTCATCCGCGTTCAAGGCATGAACAGCGTGACAAATGGCCGAGAAAAAGGCAAAAATACTGACACAACAGCGTTGTGCTTTTCCCAGCGTTCCCTTTTTCATATTTTTCCCTAGTTTGACACTTCAGGCTTTAAGTTCCCCCCTGTGGTCACAGGAGCTGCTCTTAAGGGGGCAGAGAACAGAAGAAAGGTAAAATGAACCTGACCCAGAACTATAGATTTGCATATCTCCAAACTTCAGACTCCGCCTGAACTTCACAGCTCATCCTGAAATGGATCAGAACAAAATCCTAGATCTCTTCAATTAGGAAATACTTCTTGAAATGTATTTCTATGTAAAATCTGCAAGTTAGCCCATTTTATATTTTAGGAATACATGTAAAAGCTCTGTGTTCACTATAGTAAAAAAAATTATATGAAAAATGCTGAGACCGTGCAATGGGCAATGGTAGAATTAAACCATGCAATCTCATTCTAGCCTTGAATGACATGATCAAATATTCATTATTCCACAGGACCCTGTGCTTACAGTGTGCAGCACAGATGGTGTGAACACTCATGAACAATTATTCAGAAAAATAAACAGGAAAATTCAGTGGGAGAGGAAAGGAAAGGTCGAGTTATTCTTTGGAAAGTAGATGTGTTAGTTTGCTCATTGTCCACTGCTTTGTTTGAACTGTAGTTTGTGGCATGTTGTGATCAGGACACATGCAGAGAAGAGGCTTCCTACCTGTGATCCCTGCTATGGAACAGCTCCCAAATCCACGTGGAAGGATGACTGGCTCTCCTGCTGGCTGTCTGCTTGGCTTTTCAGCCCTTTTGTCTAAGCCATTGAACAGGCACAGGGAAACAGGGAAGCTGGCATGGAGCTTCTTTTAGAAAGTGTTTGGGTACTATCATTTTTGTCATAGGTTTAAGAAGAAGGCAAAGAGAATTGACTGGTATTGGTGCAAAGGTAAAGCAAGATGAAAGACACAGTAGTCTGCCATATGTTGTCTGTGCATGGGTATCAAGGAATATTTTTTCCATGGAGAGTAATCTCAGATAGCATTCATAGGTGAAACAGCTACAGAAGAGAGTGCAAGATGAAGTGACAATAAATTACAGAAAGGATTTGGATAGGGGAAGAGAACAAAGATGAACAGCTCACATTGAACACAAAAGAAAAATGATTAATGGATGTAAGTGGCCATCACAGAAAGACAGGTTAATGCAGGAAAAGCTGAGCTGTGGAAAACACCTGTTACATTTAAGTGTAAGATGAAATAAGGCTAGCTGAAGTGGCTGTGAGTAATGAGACAATTTGTTCTGTTAGAGAGGAAGAGATAGGAGAGGCAGCCAGAGACTAAAGTCCACGAAGGAGCAAGAATGAAATACAGGAAACTGTGAGATAAAATAGGAAATGGGATATCTGCTTAAAGACAGAATATGAGAGTCACACTCAACAGCAGCACAAGGAGAACAGGTGTTTCCCTGAGTTGTTATTCACTGCTAAAATAAGTCTGCACTTCTCTCACCAAAGTGTACCAAAAAGCTGGAAAACTGCAATCTCTACCAAATGCAAGATCTCAGGATTTACTGGATCACAAATATCACACCAGGAAAGAGAAGACAATCAGACAAGTACAGATCCAGGGAAACTAGGCTGACACTTTTCTGTGCCCTGGAAAGCAGGGTCAGATTTACATGGAGATAGCAATGATTAATAAGATGAGGAGTGTCAGGAAGCAACAAGGGCCAGTTGCTCTTTAAGGGCCAAAGAGCTACAAGCTGAGGCTTTCAACAGCAAAGGCTGTGCCCTTACTGAGGGGGCACCATCCCAAGCACTGTGGGCAGAGCAGGGGGCTGGCACCACAGAAACAAAAAGGAAAGGGGCTGGGACAATTCAGGAGCAGCAAGAGACAGGCCAAGAAAGACACAACATGGATGCAAAGTCCATTTAGAGGGCAGAATGAGAGACAAGATACAGCACAGGCCAGGGAAAGGTGCAGGGGGAATGTGCAGACCTCAAGCAGAGCCCCAACACTCACCAGGAGACTGGGCCAGAGGCAGGGATGCAAACAAACAGCAAGAGCCCTGGCAGAGCTTAAATAGCACCCCAAAGCCAATGGACAGAGAGCACGGGTGAGAGTCCCAGGTGGGGCTGGTCAGGCTGTTAAAGTTCTATTAGTACCTTCAGGACACTAATAATAACACTGTGGTTTTCACTGGATTAATGTCATTGGAATCTTTAGCATATCTGCTTACAAAGAAGCACCTGAGGTAGGAGATACTTCAGCCTTCTTCATCTGGAGCTGCCAATCCAGGTGGAGGAAGCTTGAAAGCAAGGTGTGAGCAACAGAGGCAAAATTCATGCCTCTAGTTAGGAAAAAAGCCAATTTTTAGCTAGAGCCTGAGTAGTTTATGACGCTGATTTATATGAATGCATATAAATGTATTGGTATAGCAGATGAAAAATTGAGATCCACGGGATTTCTGTATCACCTCTATATTTCAGTTTGTTCTTTTGTTCCATAGGTAGCACTGCATCACTTGACATATCCTGATCTTAGGTACAAAAGTGTTTAGACCTCTATGGACTTCTCCACTATGCTCACTGCTGCAATATTTGAGTACTTTGGAAAGGTTATGAAATCTGTTTTTGACACCTCTCCTCATCTGCTTATCCTCATTACTCTGATAACTGCATTGTCTCTGAGGCTCTTTCCTATTCATTGTATTGAGAGTCCAGTTACTTTCACAACTTTTTTTGAAACTGGATGATGTCTTCCAAAGTTATTGTGGGGAATGGATCTGAGAAAAAGATGCAGACAGACAGAGTGTGTGATTGTATAAACCTCCCCATTTCATAATACCAGTCTGAAGTCCCATGTGCATCCCCTGGAATAGTTTGTGTTCTTGCACTCCTGCTCTCCAAGTGCATTCAGCTTGCTCCTGTCACTAATGCAGGCTGTCAGCTTTGAAAATTAAAAGTGTTGCTTTGAATGTTGATATTCTGGCTTCTTCATACTTCAAGTTTTCTAAT